CACTAATCATCTCCTTCATCCTGTCTCCAAAATTACCATGTTTTTTGCTGATTTTATCAGCTCTGTAATGTACTCATTCATATTTTTATTCTCACCTTGGTTTCTCATATTAAAATGATATACTTTCATCACTTTGGTTTAAGATTTTTTTTTCTTGTAGACCATTTTTCAAATCATTTAATGGTGTCATTAAGCTTCCTTAAACCTTTCAAAAGATTGTTTCTGGGCTCAAATTTTTTAGAAAATATGAAAGTCTTTTGTCTTCTGTGTGATTTGATTCAGCTATGAAATAAAAATTTAATCTTTCATGCCAATAATCAAAGCTCATTCCATTTTTTAACTTGTTCTGGCTGCCATTTTAAATAATTTTCCAACCATTTTCCCATTGAATGTCACTTTAATCTCTAATATTGATTAGTCATCAAGTTACACAGGAATGCCAATATCATGTATAAAGTGAATTAACATATTCGGGACTTTTTTTGCTACTTTCAGTGAGGGCCAGGCTGAGAAACTTTCTAAAGACTAACTACAAAAGACCCTCTGTTCTCTTTGGCAGAAGTCTGGGTTAACCTCAGCCAGTTGCACAAATGTGTGCAAATGAACACAAAGATCAGTGGTGATAATTTAAATGTTTGCACCAATACAAATTCAAAATGCTAAACACTAATTGCAAGGAGACAGAATGCATGGTTGTCTGTAAAAAGAAGAGCCTAACATGCAAATTATAAACTAGAGATACCAAGAACAACAATTTAAATATCTGGGAAGTGTTTTAACAGAGGGTGGAAAGTGCAACACTGAAATCTGAAGGGGCATTGGGATAGAGAAAGATACCTTCCAAAAGCTAAGCAAAGTATTAAGAAACAAGAAAATTTCATTAGAAACAAAGAAAAGAGTACTGAATTGTTATGTAATATCACTCATCCTATATGACAGTGAATGCTGGACAACCTCCTCGCAGATGGAGAATAAACTTGAAGCAACAGAAATGTAGTTCTACAGAAGGATTCTGAGAATACCATGGACTTGAACATGTGAACAACAATGAAGTTTTGTAGAAAATAGAAACAAAAAGGACACTTATACTTAACATCAGGAAGAGATAGTTGAAATTTCTAGGGCACATAATGAGGAAAGAATGCTTAGAAAATTTAATACTCATTGGACAGATTGAAGGAAAACAATGCATCACCTACCTAGTGAGCTTGAGTAAATGGATGGTGGAACAAGGTTTAGGAGAAATAACAAAAAGACAAAATTTATTAAGAACTACAAAGGACAAGAAATTGTGGAGAGCCATGATCATCAACATCCTGAAGGGACACTACACATAGAAGAAGAAGAGGCAGATTAAATTTCTCTAACACAACTAATACTTTACTTACAGGTGATGTGTTATAAGAAAGAAATTACTTCCAGTCTAAGCTTCTACCTAAATCAGCTTATAAAAATGACAGGTGGAGCAGGTGAACCATGTCATGAAGCCAAACTTCTCTTATCTATCTTTACTTATGTACTAATCTCAGTGCAGTGTTCTTAGATAAACCACAAAAATTGTCTTTGTATATGGAAAAAAATTTGACTGAAATTACAGAACTTCAGAAAAATCCCTGTTGCAGACACCTGGTCAGTTACATTGTGATTCCTTAACAACCACAGAGCCAACATATGGTTTATACTGCAACTATACCAAGCAGACTTTAGTTACAGTTTCTGAGAGGGTGGGAGGGAAGGAGAGAGAGAGAGAGCATATGAACATATAACCTAGAATTATCAGTACTTGAACAAGGCCAGTACACTCAAGCCCTTGGTCACGATGACCTGTGACTTTGTGCTGGCATAATTATCAACAGCTTCCAGTTTTGTCTACCCAATTTCACTTACAAAGCTTAGTTTGGTTTTCAGACACTTCCCATCAGTGCCACATTACTGGCATCATCTCCCCAGGCTAATATTATCAGTCAGTCATTTGGGGCTCATTGTTGGAATGCTTACTGCTCAGTCATGTGCCCATACCAAGGTTATAGTAATTTGGAAATAACAAAATGATAATGGACAGTATTAGTCTCAATGTCACCAGTATTATTATAATTCTCTCAGATAGAAAGAGACAGACATTTCACCCCAAGCAAGGCAATAAAGCCACTAAGACACATGAGGTTACTGAGTGTGAAAGAATAAGAAAAAAAGAGAAACATTATTAAGGAGTGAGAACAATAAAAGAATAGGAATCAAGAAGACAGTAGATAACAATTGACATTGCATTTAAATTTTTGAAAATCAAAGTTGGCTGGAAAGTAAGAAGCCAAAAGAGAGTTCCACAAATAATAAGTGCAAGAAAAGAAATTGTTAGTAAAGATGTTAGGGTTACATCTAGTCAATTCAGCTGTAAAATTATGAAATCTTGCTGCCAATCTAATACTACACTTAAATTCATAGGAGTCATCAGAACACTTACCATGAAAGTATTCATAGAAAAGACAAGGTGGTTACATTACAACCATGGGAAAAGCTAGGATGCCAGGTCAGGAACAATAATATTGCAAATTCTTCTTTGGATTTTATCAAATATCTCTAAGGAGCACCAGACCAGATGTGGCAGTAATCTTCTGTGTCTGGATAAATGGTAGATTTATAGATATGTAAGAGATTTTAGAGAGAAAAATTGTCTTGTACAACAGTGAACCAACTTTCCTACCAGCACACCTAGCAATCAACTTCATGTCAGTGGGAAGCATTAGCCTGAGATGGTGCAATGAATCATTGTCCTAGAGGTTAGCATTGGCCATGCTGATGGAAAGCAGTTAGTTATCTCAGATGATTAATAGAAAGCAGTTTTGTTTTAGAGGCATTAAAATTAATAAGCCATTCTTTGCTTAACAGCAGATTTTAGGTTACTTTTTAATGTTTCCAATTTGACTTTATCAAACTTGTCAGACTTAGTATTAAGACGGGAGTAAATAGCTGTGTCATCAGCATAGATATGAAGATAAAACTAACGAAATACCCATCTTATGAACAGAGAAAAGTTAAGTTGTGATAGAAGTTTTCTTACCTCCTTGAGGATTTCATGTATAAACATTTTAGCAAGACATCTATTTTCTAAAGTTCTTTTTATCATTATACTAAGTCCCCTTAAATTTCTTACTCTAGATATAGGTACATTTGAATAATTTTATAATGTTTAATAATTAATTTAGCAAACTTGCTGCGTTCTCATTTATTTAAATAATTTGATACAGTTTTAAGAAAATTTAATTAAACAGATTATTTTCATTTAGATAATTCCCTAAAAAGGATTTTCAGCTCTGTTTGACTATTTTGTAGTAATGTGAAATGCCAGGAGACACCAATGCTTATTTTTTGTATTTTTACAGTGGTCGTCACTCTGTATAAGACCTTGAGGCCACTCAAGGTAGAGCGTTACAGAGTAAGAGGTACAGCTTATACAGAAAATAATGGTTAACCCTATACTTGAACAGGTTAAGAGTGTAGTGATTGGGGAAGCAGCCTCTTGCGAATCGGTTCCACAAAGCACCAGTTTGTAGGAAGAAGCTGCTTGAGTGGAACTTACATCTGACCAGAGGAATATGAAGGGAATGAGGGTGGTTCGCTACAATGTACGTGGCATGATAGGTCTTAGCCTACGGGCAATCTAGATTTTCTGACTTATGATTGAATTTTGACAAAGCAGATATAAATTATTTTTATATAAAAATGATGAATTAAAAAAAATATCAATAAAAACATTGCCTATGATGAGTAATTTTTAAAAATTTGAATTAAATATAAATAGCATAGATGAAATATTTTTTTAAAATAAATTTTTTTAAATTGTAATAAAATTAAATGTTACTTATGTTGCAAATGCCATTGGTGAGTAATATATATAAAAGACTGATAGGGAATTTAGTATATGTTTGTGGTATGGGTTGGGCCATTTTGTTCTATTAATGTAAGGTGGGACACACAGACAAAATTTAGCCTTACGCAAATTTATAGAAAATTATGCCTTAGCATCATCAAGAAAAATAATTGTTGAGAAAGTTCAGCTGTGTAAAAAACTGACATCAGTGGTACTTATTATTGACTGTGAAGTTCCAATATTTGGTTTTCAAGGATCATTTCTAATTTCTTTTCATTAGATTTCTCAGAATAGAATTCTTTGATGTGCGGCTACCATTTCATCATGATTGGCTTACAACTACATCACATTGAAACACCAGTTCCTGTAAAATCACTTGTTAAGCAACATCAAGCCTGATCAGTACCTAAATGGATGACTGCTTGGGAATACTAAGTGCTGGAAGTTTGAATATGTAGCTGGTGTAATAATAACAATGGCTTGGAATTGTTAATCAGAGAGCAGAGTTCCAATTCCAATTGGGTTTGTTATATTCAGTTACACACAATTACCCTTGGGAAAGGTATGAATCTATCTCTCCTCCCACCAGCCACAGGTTAATTAGTAAAGCTTGTATCACTGAAACTTGTGTGCAAAATATTTAGATTTTGGTGTTAAATGATCCCTAGTGGTTGATATGCCATTAAACAAAAACAATCAAATCAGTTTCTTCTTCTTATTATTATTAGTAGTAGCAGTAGTAAATAATTGTAAACATTCCCAGCACCTTTTGTATAATGTTAGGTGTTATGGTCCAATATCCTCGCACCACAGTTATGGTCCAAGGTTAGAACCAAGGAAGAACAACACGAACACAAGAGTAGAATAACAAAGATATATTACAACAGAAATATAGTACAAGAAGTTGAAGGCATTAGTAATGACTGTCCGTCTGGTTTAGAGTGAACTAATATTGTCTTGACTCGTTACACCATTCATTCATTATACCTCTTGAGAGGCGCAGTATTTATAGTGTCAGGAAGAGTCCATTATCATTATAGGTAAGTTCCCATAACATTAGGGTAATTTTAAAAGTGCATATAGACTTCCCTTAATTACTTCTCAGTCAGTTTACAAACCTTAAGAAAAATTCATATCACATTGAAACACTGGTTCCTGTATGATCACTGAAGATAAGCAATGTTGAGCCTGGCCAGTACCTAGATGGGTGACTACTTGGGAACACCAAGTGCTGTAAGCTTGGATGTATGGATGGTGTAATGTATGATGGCTTGGAATTTTTAATTGGAGAGCTGAGTTCCAATTCCAGTTTGGTTCATTATATTCACTTGATGTGCAAATATCCTACATTTATACTGGTACTTTTGCATCAAACTTCTTCTGAAAAGTTGTCAGCCTAACCTACTTTGTCAAAATTTTACCATATATATTTTTGGGGCTTTTTCTAAGGTCCTTTTGTTCAAGTTGAGAAATTCTCAGTACACCTTTGTATATTAGTAGAAAGAAAGAAAATTATTGTCTATTTTCCAGCATTTCTTTCTATCTGACTTAGTGAAATGAAATCTGTCAAATAATAGAAATGTCTATTCTTGAAACTGACATCCTTTTTCACTGCTATAGAATCAAATCTGGTTTTGCCATACGGTGTATTTCACACAGTCAATCTTATTACTTTGCTATTTCTTTTATTTTCACACCATAAATTTATGTATATTTTACTAATATTCACATTTACATTATAGTCATCTTTTTTGTTTCTGCTTAAAATCTCCAAATTTTTGTGTTCCTGATTTTGTGCATTTTTGTAAAAACTGTTACAATATTTTCTGTTCATTTTACGTTCAAGTGTCACATTCATTTTTCATTTTTCTAAAAATTTAAATTACACAGACAAAAAACAAATTTGTGCAAAATACAAAACTTTTAACTCCCTACAAAAAGTAGAAATAGAATGTGAAAAGAGATTACATCTCTGTTTTCTCCCTAAAGTTGAACAACGTACAAAACAAACAAGATTCAACCACTACACAAAATTTAAAAGGAAAGACATTTATTACAGTACACAAAATAAAACAAATACAAAATTTACATACAAAGCTTGCACAAAAATTTCCTTTTGTGCACCTTATACAAAAACTAAGGCAGGATAACACTTCCAATATACAAAAAAAAAAGATTACAGCTTTTGAAAATTAAATAAAAGGGAAGAATTTTGAGGAAGCAAAAATTGTACAAGGCAGAAAATACAAAAGTGCACCTACCTAATTTCTACAACTGAATAGGAATGTCTTAGCACAAAAGGGATATTGTAGTTTCAAGAAGTTGTTGTCATGGGGACTTTATGTAGTCCTTTACTGAAAAGTTCAACTTGAATGTTTGTTTGTTTTTTTGTTTTTTTTTCAAATTCTTCTCTGGAAGATGCTGAAAAAAATTTTCCTCTCCTGGGACTTGAATCTGCCTTCCAGTTGAGATTTAGCTGTCAGTTCTTCATTCTTCCCCGTGATGCTTTATGACCCCTTCGTCTTTACTAATTGTGGGTGCTTCAATGTCTTCTTGAAAAACTAAATGCTTTCTCCTTGACAATTAAATACTTTCTGAAGCTATCCACTAACTGGATTGTCCTGGGTATGACGTTAAACTGCATCCAACAGCAAGGCCTTTGATCAGGAGGTTTTGAGGAGCATGGAACCACCTCTTAATTGCTGACCCAGGGTGGTAGCACCTGTTGGGGTCCCAGCTATGGGCAAATAGTGAACTCCCAGTTTTTTCCAGACCTTACCCACATCCTGGGTATGGCGATAAACTACATCCGCGTCCTGGGTATGGTGATAAACTACGTCCAACAGCAAGGCCTTTGATAATATGCTTTTGGAAAAATAATGTTGCCAGCTATATGTTTTTGAAAAAATAATGTTGCCAGCTATACGTTTTTGGAAAAATAATGTTGCCAGCTATACCTTTTCGAAAAAATAATGTTGCCAGCTATACGTTTTTGGAAAAATAATGTTGCCACCTATACATTTAATAGTACTATATATTTAATATATATATATATATATATATATGTATGTATGTGTGTGTATATATATATATATATATATATATATATATATATAACTAAATTTGGCATTAAATGACCTACAGTGGTTGATATGCCATAAAACCCAACCAACCAACCACTAACAGAGTCCTTTTATTCAAGAAAGGTGGATCACAGAAGGCTCTATCCAGGTTTTCACAAGACCACATCTTTCATTGGCTAGTAAATATGAAAATATATTTTTCCAATAAATTCAAAAAATGAATCTGCAACAATTCACATAGAAATAATTTTTGCAGTTTTTTTACCACTAATCCTAAAAATAAATTTTCACACAATTGTAACAATTTTTTTTACCAACCGTCTGGCTTAAGAATACACTTTTCACAAAGATATGTGTAAAAAAAAACAACCTAGACGATTAAACATCTATTTACTACACTAAAGACTAACATACAAAAAAATTAAATTTTTATATTTTTAACCAAATCTTATCACATTCTGCCATTTTTAAATTCATCTTTTAAAATTCATTTAATTATTCTTATTTTTTAAATCCACCATTTAAATTTTTAACCATTTTAATCAAAACATTACAAATCATGTTCTTTAAAAAAAATAGTCAAAAAACTTTAAAGTGAAAATTTGCAGTTTATAATTTCTCGGTTGTATCAGCTACATTTTTGTAATGGCTGCCATTGTCTCTATGCTGCCTTCATTTTTGCTTTGCTCACGAGTCATCATTGGATTATTTTTTTGTTTCAGTTCCTGCTTTTTAATAACCTGAACATAACTTCCAGTCTCTGCATCTTGTAGCATTTTTGTTGTGATATTTACTTTCCTTATTTACACTATTTACATTGTTCAGACTGTTGTCCTCATCTTTGTTGCCATATTCATGACATTTCAGTCATTGTACACTCCGGTCTTCTTCAGGTGATTGGAATTTCTAACTGAACCCTTTATTTTGTCCACTGGAGTAAATTGTGTCCATGTGCCATGACTCTTCCGGATGTCTCACTTATCTCCTTTTAACTTAGATTGTTCTAGTTCCACACGCCATCTTGGTCCATGAACAGGCAACAATAAAATTTGAAATGTTATGTGTGGACCCTACAGAGACATTTGAAACAAAAGTGTCCTCTATTTGAGCCATATGCAAATATTTTCTTTACGCAATTTTTTAATTTAGTATTTACATATTTTTTAAATATTCATATGTATTCCAATCAATTAGATTGACATTAGCACCAAACTCAATCATAACTGAAATAGACTGACCATCTAAGCAAATAACTCCATCAGATTTACGTCCCTTATTTGCCATTAGTACATAATCGTCCAAATCAGTTTCCATTTGCACTACTTCAATATTTTTATACTTAGTAGTATTACAGAAGATGACATGAATAAATTTTTTTTTTTTTTACAGTAACATTCACTCTTTACAAGGCCTGGGAGTCCACTCAAGGTAGAGGGTTATGTTAGGAGGCAATTTGTGTGAATAGGAGTGGAAGATAATGGTTAACCCTAGCCTTGAACAGATTAAGTTTGTAGTGATTGGGGAAACATCCTCTTGAGAGTCTGTTCCACAGAGAAGTAGTTTGTGGGAAGAAGCTGTTCAAGTGGAACTCACTTCTCACCAATGGAATACAGTGGGAATGTGAGTGGTTTGCTACTATGTAAATGGCACGGTGTGTCTTTGCCATGAAAGCTTGACTTGGCAGTACCAGCACTGGTAGTTCGTCCAAGCACTTTCTGTGAAAGTAGTGATGGAGCAGCAAGAGGCTTGCCAGATCCGGCCTATGGGGGAGAGATTGGAGAGTGGAGAATAATTTGTCACTTACAAGGACTTTTGTATAGATAATTGAGTTAGAAAAATTTTCTTTGGATTTTAAAGGATTAGATAAAGAGTTCATTTCACATATATAGGAAGGTTTTTTTTTTTATTGATTGATTTGTTTTTTATGGATTATCAACCTTTCCATATTATTTAAAGCCAGAAAATAATTTTAGATTGTAAGAGTTTTTCTGCAATAATAATTTACTGATACGAGACCTACTAATTAATCCATAGCTAGGGAGAAAAGATGTGGATTCATACCTGAAGCTATTTGTGTGTAAATGAATATAATGATTCCAACTGGAATTAGGACTTGGCTCTCCAATTCTAAACTGGTTCTCATGCGATAACTGATGTTAAACAACATTAAGCCTGATCAGTACCTAGATGGGTCAACTCTTGGGAATACCCAATACCGTAAGCTTGAATGTGCGGTTGATGTAATGGATGACAGCAAGCTACTGCGGGAATTCTTCTGCCCGGGTCAATCATGAATCGAGACATGATCCCAAGAGTGTGCATCTCGCATGGCACCTATGGAAGTGTGTGTCCTACAGATGTCTTTTGGTACAGAGAAAAATTGCTTCATTAATTATTCTGATCATATCTTTTCATTTTGTACACCTGAAGAAGGCTATAGAATGTATCAGCCAAAACATTATGCTTTCAATAAAAGTGACATAATGAGCTACTCTTGGAATAAAAAGGACATTTTTTTTATATTCAATTTTGTTACATCAAATAAATAAATAAATGAAGTGCCTGTGATAACAGATTATTTTTTGTATTGCATATAAATTCCATACATCTACATAACGTGTAGCATCAAAAGACGAAAATGATATTCATTTCTAAAATATGTGATCAAAGTTAAAAAAAAAAAAATGCTCTTTAATTACTTTTCAGAAATTTATACAAATTTTATATCTTTCAAAATATATGGGATGTGCATGTAGCATAAACGGATATCTGCAAGGAATATGGAATCAGCAATCTAAGTTCAAATCCCAGCCTAGTCTGTTACATTCACTTTTTCATAAATACCTTTGGAAGAGACATGAACCTGTCTCTTTTCACTTCAGCTATGGGTTAGCACAATATACTGGGCTTTCTAGCCTTGGGTAGCAAACAGTCTAAGAGAAGGAAAACTCTGAATTTTAAACTGGAAAAGTCAATGGGAAACCATGCTATTATCTTCCTCAAGAAGACAAGGCAATCCACTGATAAAGAAAAGGAGATTGTAGAGAGCCAAGATCAACTCTATCCTGAAGAGATTGGCATTTTAGAAAAATAATTTTAAAAATCAACAATGATGACAGAATTTTCATGCTACCCATTCCAACTACTTGACAATT